TGGACCTGGACATATATCTGGACCTGGACCTATATCTGGACCTGGACCTACATCTGGACCTGGACCTACATCTGGACCTAAACCTGGACCTGGACCTATACCTGGACCTACATCTGGACCTAAACCTGGACCTATATCTGGATCTGGACCTATACCTGGACCTACATCTGGACCTAAACCTGGACCTATATCTGGACCTGGACCTATACCTGGACCTGGACCTATACCTGGACCTACCATTCTGTGTTGGTCTGTCTCTCCTTCCTGTCCTCTCAACCAGCCGGTCAAAGCAGATGGCCTCTTGTCCTGAGCTGGTTCTGCTGGAGGTTTCTTCCTGTTAAAGGGAGTTTTTCTTTCCACTGTCTCCACTGTGCTTGCTCAGGATGGGAGACTGCAACGAAGCCAAGATTCATCTTGTCTGCTGGATTCCTTAGATAGAGAACTTTACTAACTGGCTTTTATGTGAATGTTCCTGTAAAGCAGAACTGGTTTGTTCCACTTTGGAGTAGCAGTTGGTGGAAGAATCAGTTTTGTTGTGTGTTTCCTTGACTGATGAAGCCTTCTGGATCGAAGGCGAAATGTTTTAGCACAAAAAAAGAAACTGTCCAGATGACCTGACTGAAAAATGTTGGGTTTCTGTAAAGTGCCTGAGACAACTTGTTGTGATTTGGAGCTTTACAAATAAACTGAATTGAACGTGTCCATCTACTGAACACAGTGAAGGAACTCGAGGAGAAACCTTTCAACGCCCAGGATGTTTGATCTTAATGTTTGGGTTTCTTTTAGAAGACATGGCTCGTAGGTATTTTACGCCTAAAGGAAAGTTATTGAGATATTTTCTCCCGCAGCTGGGGTCAAACTCTGACGGACCTTCTGAAGCAGCTTGCTGTGGAGGTGCCGTCCCAGCAGGCCATGCAGCGGCTCTTGGTCCCAGCGGAGAGTCACCCAGCGGAAATGCTGCTGAAGGCGGAGCTCGGAGCCCTGAAGGCGGGGCTTCGACAGCGTGCCGATCAAGAAGTTGTTCTCCAGGAAGTGGTGTGAACCTGAGGGGGGGATGGATGAGTCTGCATTTGTTTTACTCCTCATTTGTTCAGAGTGACAAACAAAGAAAGATTTTCTTCAGTGGGCGGCGCTCCTACCTGTGCTCAGGACCAGAGGGGAGGCAGGGCCCCTGTTGTCCAGACTGTGGCAGAGGTCTCCCAGCAGGCCTGTTAGGGACGAAGCCTTCTCCAGTCCCTCCAGCAGCATCACCACACAGCGACCGGTGTGGGCGCCGGTCAACCCCAGCCTCGACCCCGGGGCCGACACCAGGAAGCCTGAGAAAACACAAGCCGGAGAACGTCCATCAGCTAAAGGACACGTCCTACGAAGCTGCAACATTATAACCGTCATGAAGAACGAGTCCGGAGGTTTCTGAATCTTCTGATTCATGCTCAACAATCCACGTAGAAGAATCAGGACAAGTTTGAGCCACTTCAGCTATGGCTGCCTCAGAAGACTCGGCGGGGGAGAGGGTGGACTCCAGAAACCACCTGAGCACCTTGGATGAAGAACGAAACGTCTCAACAAAAAGAACCCGTCCAGAGGACCGGACTGAACTTTGATGGACTGTTTCTGAATCGTTCTCATTCTTCACCTCCGTTTGTCTTCCGTGCGATTCGTTCCTCAGTTTTTGTTCTGGTGCAACAATTCCACAACATCAAAACGTTCGGCTCCTTCAGGACATTCCTGCTCGGACTTTTCGTGTTTGTGCAACTTTTGAAATATTGAGCTTTGTCGGCCATGTTTTCCTCGTTGAAAAAGAATGGAGCCATTTACAAGCTGCTGCTGCTGGTTTCAGCGTTCGTTCTGGTTGGAAACAATATCTGTCACTCACGTCGTTAGTCCAAAGGAACCACGCTCAGCGGCGCCAGATTTCAGGCCAGGTTACACACGCAACACGTATAAACATGCAGAGCCGTGCACAGGTGCAACCAGCCACGAGCAGCGTCATCCTCTCAGCTCAGAGTTCAGGACGAGTCCTTGACAGCTGCAGTCTCCTTACACAGCACAAACATGTGGTCCATGGGCCGAGACAAGACAGTGACGGGTCGGCTTGTTTTGGGCTTCTTAACCTTTGACCCGAACCTCCCTGACAGTTCTTCTTGCTCACGATGGGGACAAAGAAAAGCTCTAACAATATTCAGACATGTAACAAACAGAACTAAAGTTCCTGGTTGACCTCAAGCAGGAAGGTTTAGAACGTCACACAGGTTAAGTCTGGTTTCAACGGTGTCAGTCAGAACCAACTCAGTTTAAAGACGTTTCTCATTAAAACACACGTTAACGTTTGTTTCTCTTTTTTCATTCAGACATTCCACTTGTTTCAACGGAGCACGTTCCACCACAGTCAACAACGAGCTCATCTGTGAGATCTTCCTGCAGCTGGACTTGAAGCTCTCGTGACGTGTGACGCTTCTCACCGCAGCTGATGAACGTGTCCAGCAGCAGCTCTTTGTTCAGGCCCGGTCCCACCTCCACCCTCACCACGTCACAGCCGACGCCCCTCGCCTCCTGCTTCGCCTGCAACAGACACGGGGACGGAAAAGGAAGGGGCGGAGGTGAAAGGAGAGATGGGATGATGTAAGATGGGAGTGCGTTGCCATGGTAACACAGAACATGTACCTACTACAGAAGGCCGAGAGGGACGGAGCAGGAGGAGGAGTGAACAAACAAAAAGGTTTTTTAGCTGCTGTCAGAGAGAACAGCTGATTCACTCTGTATCACAATGATGCTCATCCATCACTCATACATCCATCATCAATCTATCATCCATCACTCATCCATCCATCATCAAT